CTCACTATGCTGGATCAGCACATGACCCACTGTAATAGTGTATCTTCCAATTCATGGAGCAGAAAATCCCTTAATTACTCCTCCAACTATCATCCATTTTGCTAAGGATTGCCTATATGCACTTTGTCTACTTCCTTACATCCAATTCTTTTCTCAGTTCACTCTAATCATTTTTTGTCTATACCATTTTACCGAAGTCTCTATTGTCAAGATCATTAATGGCTGCCATTATGCCAAATCCATAGCAAGCCTCAGTCATCATCTTTTTTCTTTTTCATTAATAAAATATGGAACGCTTCACAAATTTGCGTGTCATCCTTACACAGGGGCCATGCTAATCTCTGTATTGTTCCAATTTTAGTATATGTGCTGCCAAAGGGAGCACCTCAGTCATCATCTTAAATGACCTCTCAGAAGCATTTATCTGGGTTGCTCATTCTCTCCTTAAAATGTTTCCTTTAGCCCTAGCCAGTTTGGCTCAGTGGATAGAGCGCTGGCCTGCGAACTGAAAGGTCCCAGGTTCAATTCTGGTCAAGGGCACATGTCTGGGCTGTGGCCTCAATCCGGGGGACTTGCAGGAGGCAGCCAGTCCATGATTCCCTCTCATCATTGATGTTTCTCTCTCTCTCTCCCTCTCCCTTCTTCTCTTAAATCAATAAAAATATATTTGTAAAAAAATGCTTCCTTTAGCCCTGGCCGGTTTGGCTCAGTGGATAGAGCGTCGGTCTGCGGACTTAAGGGTCCCAGGTTCGATTCCAGTCAAGGGCATATGCCCAGGTTGCAAGCTCAATCCCCAGTAAGGAGCGTGCAGGAGGCAGTCAGTCAATGATTCCCTCTCATCATTGATGTTTCTATCTGTCTCTCTCCCTCTCCCTTCCTCTCTGAAATCATTAAAAAATATTTTTTTAAAAAATGCTTTCTTTACCTGGCTTCTGGATTTGACACTCTCCTGAATTTTCTTTCATTTTATTGGTTGCTCCTTCTGTGAATCCTCTGAATTCTAAACGTTGCAGGGTGCTCCAGAACAGAATCCTTGGTCCTCATTTCTCTAATGTCTCACTTATTCCCTAGGTAAGTTCTTCCAGTTTCAGGACCTTAAACATTTATACAGCCCCGACCTCACCACTGTGCTCCAGACTCATACTAGTGTACCTAACAGCCTACTTGGCTCTCTTTTATGTCTTATAGGCATTTAAAAAAATATTTTTTTATTGATTTCAGAGGAGAGGTAGAGAAAGACAGAGAGAGAGAAATATCAATTATGAGAATCATTGATTGGCTGCCTCCTGCAGACCCTACACTGGGTATCCAGCCCACAATCCTGGCATGTGCCCTGACCAGGAATTGAACCTGACCTCCTGGATCACAGGTGTAGGCTCAACCACTGAGCCATGCCAGCCGGCTTATGTCTTCTCTTTTGATTGTAATGTATAAAACAAGGTGCAAAACTGCTATTCTCTTGAGTTTTATCTCAATGTTATGCTTCCCACAGGTTGGCTCATATAACTCACAAAAAATCTTTACAGGTTTGAAAGTTTCTTACATTGACACATACAAATGCAAGACACCTCTCAGCCTAAAAAGCAGGCTCTATTTCAAATTTCAAATCTGTAACTTAACAGCGGTGTGACTTTGGGCAAGCTATTTTACCTTCTTGAATCTGTCCCATCTGTAAAATAGACAGCGAATACTTCTCACAGGCTTCAAGTATTCTGGTAATATCTGTTATCCTCACCTGGATGGTAATTACATTCCCCAAAAAATCAGAGCTGCGAATTTAAGATTTGTACATTTTTTGTACGTATGCTATAATACATACTTCAATAAAGACTTACAAGAAGTAAAATAAAGAACATTCCCCATCCAGGGTTGTTATAAAGATTGGATAAAATCACGCTTATAAAGTCTAGCACAGTGCCTGGCACCTAAATGCGTGGCTAGGATCCACAGTCCAGCAGAACCACGGACTCTCTAGCTCCCAATTCTCCGTTTGCCGGACTAAATACCGGGCTCAGCTTAAGAATATTTTGGGAACCCGGCCAACCTGACTGTAGGGGAGAACGGAGCGAGAGTCAGATTAATGAATCAGGAAGGTAACCTGACACCAGAAGGAAGCGGCACTCGGGACCCTCCTTCCTCGGGCAGGAGTCCGAGCAGCGCAGAGCGGCGTAGAGCGGCGTCGCCGCGGCGCGCGGTGCACTGTGGGCCAGCAGAGGCGCCGCCTGGTCCCGCCCAGACCTCCCACGTGACCACAGCGCAGGTTTCCCCCTGCCGGCGCCTTCTCCAAACCCGCGTGGCCAATTGTATCTGAGCTTCGGCCAATCCGACCCTCCGCACCCCGAGGAGGCGATGGTGCGGGCTCCCAGCTCTCCGCCCCCAAGTCCCTCCTGGGGGGCTGGGGCGGGGTCCACCACTCTTAGGCCGAATGCGCCCCTCCTCTGGGAGGAGTTCGGTCAGACTGGGACCGGGTCCCTGCCTTCTCCATCAGGCGGACTTCCCTTGCAGCCCTCCAGTCCCGGAAGCCGAGGCTCATTGGATCCCTAGCTGGGCCCAGGACGGAGCCGAGGTTATACCACCTTCTTCCCGCTCAGCGCTCGTGCGAGGGTGAGCTGAGGCCCCATCTTCCTTACGGAGGAGTTGGCCTTGACCCTTCACTGCAGAGGTGTCCGCCGCCGGACAGAGTGGAGAGCGCAGGTTCTGGGGGCGGCCAGCCTTGGTTTCAGATCTGAACTCTTCCTCTTACTCGCTGTGCGGTCTTGAATACGTTCTGTTTCTCTGGACCTCATTTTCCTCCGTGGTAAAACGAGTTCCTACATCAGAACTGTAGGGAGAATTAAATGAGATAAAGCTTTTAAAGAGTTCGGGGCATATTAGGTGCTCAGTAAGTTTTGGTTGCCATCTTCCATTTTGTTTGCTTACTAACACGATTTTTTCCAGGAGATCTGGCCTTTCAATGAAATTGTAGACATGCTTCTCAAAAGTAGCAGAGGAGGGGTTACAGTTTGCTTGCTTAGGCACCTGCCTTGGGTTTGGGGAAGCCAGGGCGGGCTTTTTGGTTGCCTCGGAGCTCTGCTGCAGTGAGACTCCCATCTGAACCTTCACCGGATGGGGCTGTGATGAACTCTTCCCTTCAGTTTGACCGTACGCAGGGCTGCAGGACCTGCAGGACCTACCTTAGCAGAGGCTTTATGGTTCTGATCAGGCCTCTTATTTTCCCCAAGGTCTCAGTTGTTTTTGTTTTGTATAGGAGTAATCTTGATAGCATTCTCTCTGGAGCCCTTGGGATTTTATTGGGGGGTGGGGGACAGAGAGAGTAAAGTTCTTTGATATTTTCCAGAGATGAGTCTTTCCAGGTTACCCAAGAAGGGCAAGGAAGAAGGCAGTGACTTTCTCAAATACCCAGCTGTCAAGATCTCTCCCCTTTGCCTCTGTGTGTATGTGTTTAGTGTGTGTGTGTGTGTGTGTGTGTGTGTGTGTGTGTGTGGCGGGCAGTCTAGGAGTGAGGGGTTCAGACAGATGACAGGCGCTGACCTCAAGGAGTACCCAGGTTTGTGGGGAGAAACTTACATAAACAGACAGCTGTGTGCACTAGCTGTCAGTACATGGAAGGAGCCAGAAGTTTAGTGCTAGCTGAAGGATGAGCAGCAATTAGCCAGGTAAGATTGGGACTTGGGGAAGGAAAGTATGCAGAGACCTGGAGTCAAGTAAGCGGTGGCTCACTCTGCAAACTCAGAAACATGGGGTCCGAAATGAGGAGGAAAAATGAGGACTGTGGGAGCCAGGTTAAGAAGGGTATACGGTACTAAGGAGCCTGGACTTTGTCCTGGGTAGGAGAGAGCTGCTGGAAGAGTTTGAACCTGGGAGTCACATGGTCAGATGAAGTGAATGGATTGTGGGGAGAGGGGCCACACTGGAAGCAGCGAGATCCCTGGTGTGGTCAGAACTAGAGCAGTGGCAGCAGAGGTAACTATGGATAGACTGGCGAAAGATTTAGGAAATGTATTGTTTAAAGTGTTTTTTTTTTCACATCAAGAAGTATGTGAAGTATTATTGTAGTTTAAGGTTTTACATTATAGTTTAGAGCAAATAATATCTTTCTTTATATATACAAGTACTAACAGGTTTTTTTTAACCCGGCCACATAGACCAAATCTTGGTCACCGTTACATATATATGCTGGCTTATTAGAAGTACAGGAGAAGATATGCTCTCTTCCCTGTCGCCTATCAAAATCATAATCTGATAATACTCAAAAATACTTCAAATGAACTGAAATACTTTATTTAGGTGGCTTTTTAAAGACCCAGTGAATTAAATGAGATAAAGCTTTTAAAGAGTTTGGCACACATATTAAATGCTCAATAAGTTTTAGTTGCCATCTTCTATTATGTTTGCTCACTAACACAATTTTTTTCCAGGAGATCTGGCCTTCCTATGAAATTGTAGACATGCTTCTCAAAAGTAGCATGTTGCCAGGTTTGTTTTCTCACTAAGGGCCTGAGTCCCTGTTGAGAAAAAAATGTACAGAAAGATCATGGGGAAGGCACTGTGTAAAGTGCTTTAGATATAGTATCTCTTCACAAGATGGGGCTGAGATTCAAACCCAGGTCTGTGGAACCCCAGCCCTTGAATTGTTTCCTCTGTGCTCTGCTGCTGGATTTGACAAGTACAGTTTGGACATGCTGAGTCTCAGATACCGGTAGGACACACTTGTGGAGATGAACAGAGGGAGTTGAATATACAGAACTGGGGTGGGAAGAATGAGTACTTAAGTTGATAGCTGAAGACATGAGCTCTACTAGGGAGTGAGAAGGGGATTGGGGACAGAATCTCGAGGGACACCAACATTTATGGGAGGCTGAGGAGAGGCCCATAAATGGAACACTCATCCAAATACTGCTTCCTCTTTTTCCTGTGTTTTCTAGTTCCCCACATCCAGCCAGCAACTGTAGAGCCCTCCTTTGAGAAGGGAAGACTGAACCCCAGTGTGAAAGAACGTAAGTTCGAATAAAACCTGACTCCCGATGCTACCCTCTTCCACATCTCCTCATACATACACAGCTTCTCTCTCTTGAACATTTGGAACCTTTCCCAATATAACATGAGGGTTTCTGAGTGCTGCCGAGGTCCAGTGAGGCAGTTCCTGACAGGCTCAGAGCCTGTTAATGCAGGGCTAGGCTGGAAAGCTGTTGCCTCAGGCAGAAGATGAGGAAGTCTAGAACTAGAAGAGGATGACTTCCTGTCCTAGAGAAAAACATCTGTCTTCTGCTGGGGCCCCTCTATTTATTTCTTTGTAGTTCTTGTTCTTTGCAGATCTTTGTTAGGTCTTCCTACCTCCATGATCTACCCCCACTACACTCGCAAGCCTCAGAGCTTTTGGTTTTCAGTTTCACCGACAATAAGAAGCAAGCATCAAATTTCTTCTTCCTTTTACCCTTAAGCATGGTTTTTGTTCAAGCTCTCAGCCCAGTTGTAATTTCAGAGCCCTCCCCTGTGTGCTGGGAAATCTTAGAGAGGCCAACAGGTCACTTGTTTGGGGATCAAGCCCAGCAAATCAGCCACAGACTCTGATGTTAAATGGAAGGCTAGTTCCTCCTGTGAACTCCAGGCGTACTTGCCTGATCCCTGGGAAGTTTGGTAACAGAGAATTGCTCTCAGCAATCTTTGGTTTGCTTCCCAGATTGACCATTCTTGTTTTAGCAGAAAGAAGTGATCTCCATAACTGGTTGTGCTAGACCAGTGATGGCGAACCTATGACACACGTGTCAGAGGTGACACGCGAACTCATTTTTTTGGTTGATTTTTCTTTTGTTAAATGGCATTTAAATATATAAAATAAGTATCAAAAATATAAATCTTTGTTTTACTATGGTTGCAAATATCAAAAAATTTCTATATGTGACACGGCACCAGAGTTAAGTTAGGGTTTTTCAAAATGCTGACACGCTGAGCTCAAAAGGTTCGCCATCACTGCTAGACCATCACTTCTCAACCTGTGGGTCGCGACCCCTTTGGCGGTTGAACGACCCTTTCACAGGGGTCGTCTAAGACCATCCTGCATATCATATATTTACATTACGATTCATAACAGTAGCAACATTACAGTTATGAAATTGCAACGAAAATAATTTTATGGTTGGGTCACAACATGAGGAACTGTATTTAAAGGGCCAGAAGGTTGGGAACCACTGCGCTAGACGGACTGTAAAATTCTTCCTGAGTCAGAAGTATTAGGAAAGACAATTTAGGTATGTAGGTTGTACACACAACATCCCTTATTACCTGCTTTACCATAATCTCTTTTAAAAAAATGTTTTTATTGCCCTTGCTGGTTTGGCTCAGTGGATAGAGCATCAGCCTGTGGGCTGAAGGGTCCCAAGTTTGATTCCAGTCAAGGGCACATGCCCGGGTTGCGGGCTCAATCCCCAGTAGGGGATGTGCAGGAGGCAGGCAATCAGTGATTCTCTCTCATCATTGATGTTTCTATCTCTCTCTCCTTCTCCCTTCCTCTCTGAAATCAATAAAAATAAAATTTAAAAAAAAGAAAGAAAGCAAAAAAATAAATATAGGCACTTCTCTCTGAGTGTAAACTTTTTTCTTTGTATAAGCTTATATCAGTTAACTTTTAAGATTCTCGTTTACAATATTTTAAATTGAAATGTGTCAATTTAAGTGGTCATTTTAAACTATATTTTTATTGATTTCAGAGAGGAAGGGAGAGGGAGAGAGAGAGAGAAACATCAATGATGAGAGAGAATCATTTTTTTAAAATTTTGTTTTATTTCTTAAAGTATTACAAAGAGTATTACATATGTCTCCTTTTTTCCCCCCCTTGACATTCCCCTGGCCTCCCCTACCCCCCAGTGTCTTGTGTCCATTGGTTATTCTTATATGCATGCATACAAGTCCTTCTGTTGATGAGAGAGAAGCATTGATTGTCTGCTTCCTGCTCACCCTATACTGGGGATTGAACCCACAACTCAGGCATGTGCCCCTTGACTGGAATCGAACCTGGGACCCTTCAGTCCGCAGGCCGACGCTCTTCCCACTGAGCCAAACTAGCTATGGCAGAAGTGCCTATATTTTTAAAAAATATTTTTATTGATTTTTGAGAGAGGAAGGGAGAGGGAAAGAGAGATAGGAACATAATGATGAGAGAGGATCATTGATCTGCTGCCTCCTGCACACCCCCTACTGGGGATTGAGCGTGCAACCTGAGCATGTGCCCTGACCAAGAATTGAACTAGTGACCTTTTGGTTCATGGGTCGACACTCAACCTCCAAGCCACACCAGCTGGGCAACAATAATATTCTTGATGTCCTTTCAGAACTTGGAAACAAAGGTTATATTTAAAGGTATTGCTGACAATGAAATCAATCCTGAGAGAGTGATACTTATAGTACTGATGAGATCAAATGAAAAGCTTTCTACCTTATTTACTTTGGGGGTAAGCATTCTTTCTCCTTCCCCTTTCACTTGAATGACTCCTGTTCATTAGGACTTGACTCAGCACCTCCAAGAAGCCATCCTAGCCAGCGTACTCTTTTCTTATAGCACTTGTGCAGATTTTGGTCATATTTTTTATATATTGCACCCATATCATCTGCCCTCCCCACTCCTCCACCAGACCATAAGCTCTAAGAGGGCAGGGACTCTTTGAATATCTGAGTCTAGCACAAGGCCTAGAATATTCATCATTTGCTGACTGAATGAGTATTCATTCTAGAGCCATTTGGAAACTTCTGATTTTCATAGCTCTTCAAAGGGGTTGCTCCAATCACCCACCTGCTTTTGTTCCGTTGCAAATTTTCTTGCATCTGAAATTTTTTGCTGTCTGCTGCACTGAAATCCTGTGTCTAATTCACCTTCCTGGAAAGACTCTTCCCCTTGACTCCAGGGAAAATTCAACTCATTCTTAAAAGCCCATGTCAGTATTCCCTGGTTCTTGCCCTGCAGAAGTCACTTGCTTTCTGTAGCACATTGTATGTACATTGTCTACTGTCAGCACATATATTTTTATAAAATATATTTTATTGATTTTTTACAGAGAGGAAGGGAGAGGGATAGAGAGTTAGAAACATCGATGAGAGAGAAACATCGATCAACTGCCTCCTGCACACCCCCTACTGGGGATGTGCCCGCAACCAAGGTACGTGCCCTTGACCGGAATCGAACCTGGGACCCTTGAGTCCGCAAGCTGACGCTATATCCACTGAGCCAAACCGGTTAGGGCAGCACATATATTTTATAGGTCTGTGTTTACCTGCCTTTCCCCATCAGTTCTTGGATCCTTGGCTCTGCCACTTAGCTATTGATTTGGGGCAAATAACTTGATCTCTCTATGCCTGTTTTTTCATCTATAAGATATTATACTTCCCTTGTAAGAGCCCACTCAGGCCTAGCAGCATGGCGTATCAGACCTCTGTGAGAGGAACTCAGAGAGTCTCTGTCGTTCTGACAAACTCCTGGGAATGTTCATTTCATCCTCAGTGAAGTAACCCTTTCCTGAGCCTGTTCTGTCACCCCATCTCATATTGACTCATAATGGCTTGCCTGTCTTACACTGGCTTGAGACCTTATGTAGTCAAGGGGCACTTCTGGAGAGCCACCCTGCCTTTGTTTTTAGGTATTGGAGCTCTTTAACACAGACCTTTAGCCTGGTGAAAGGAAGGGCAGCCAGGCTGGTGGTCTGGTTAATGTTTGTCCAGGAGCTACTGGCTTTGGTTGCTTCTGGGCATATACACACAATCACAAGTTTGTTCTCATCACCTCTGTGCCTCCTTTGTCACCCATGATTTACAGGAGTCTTGAAGCCCAAGCAGCACTGATCCCCACATCATTCTCTTCCCATTTCTGTTTCAGGAGGCAATGGCGGCTTCCTGTGTCCTCCTGCACACTGGGCAGAAGATGCCCCTTATTGGACTGGGCACCTGGAAGAGCAATCCTGGCCAGGTGAGGGATGGGGGAAGAGGAGGAGGGCTTCCTGCACCGCTGCTAGGGAAAAGGCAGTATTTGGGAGAGAGTCCCTGCATTTTCCCTAGCAGCCCCATGCCTATACTCCACTTAAAGTGGAATGAGCCTGGAGGGCAGTGGGAAAAACAAGGGAAGAAGGGCCTGGTAACATGTCCTTAGCCAACCTAGCTAACTCAGAGGAGGGGCTGAGAGGGTCAGCAGGGCAAAGGTCATAGGAAAGAACCCTTTCCCTAACTGGATCGACACTGAGTCCTTTGGCAGATGTGGGAACCCTCTGTATCTGGCCCGTTGCTGACCCCTAATATGGCATCACCTTGTGCTGTGATCTGATCATCACTGGGCTCCTTGAGGGCTGGGCCTCTCTCATTCCAGAGGTAGTCACACAGAAGGTATCAGTCAGGGTTTGAAGAATAACTAGGTCAAGACCAAGGGTTAACAAACTTTTTTTGTTAATCCTCACCCGAGGGGAAAGAGAGAGAGAGAGAGAGAGAGAGAGAGAGAGAATTTTTTAAAAAAAATATATATTTATATTGATTTCAGAGAGGGAGAGAGAGATAGAAACATCAATTATGAGAGAGAATCTCTAATCGGCTGCCTCCTGCACACCCCACAATGGGGATTGAGCCCGCAACCCAGGCATGTGCTCTTGGCCAGAATCGAACCTGGGACCTTTTAGTCTGCAGGCTGATGCTCTATCCACTGAAACAAACTGGCTAGGGCCCGAGGATATTTTTCCATTGATTTTCAGAGAGAGGGTGGAAGGGAGGGAAAGAGATAAAGAAAAACATCAATGTGAGAGAGACACATCGATTGGTTTCCTCCTGCACGCAACCCAACCAAGGCTGGGGAGCCAAACCTGCTAGGGTGCAAACTTTTTCTTTAAAAAAAAAAAAAAAAAAAAAAAAAAATATATATATATATATATATATATATATATATATATTTTTTTTTTTTTTTTTTTTTTTTTTTTTTGGGTGATTTCAGAGAGGTAGGGAGAGGGAGAGAGAGATAGAACATCATTGATGAGAGGGAATCATTGATTGGCTGCCTCCTGCACACCCCACACTGGGAACTGAGCCTGCAACCTGGGCATGTGCCCTGACCAGGAATTGAACCGTCACCTCCTGGTTCATAGGTTGATGCTCAAACACTGAGCCATGCTGGCCAGGGCAAACTTTTTCTTGATGAACCAGATGGTTAACAATTTAGATTTTGCCGAGACCGGTTTGGCTCGGTGGATAGAGCGTCGGCCTGCGGACTGAAGGGTCCCAGGTTCGATTCCGGTCAAGGGCATGTGCCTGGGTTGCGGGCACATCCCCAGTGGGAGATGTGCAGGAGGCAGCTGATCGATGTTTCTCTCTCATCGATGTTTCTGACTCTCTATCTCTCTCCCTTCCTCTCTGTAAAAAAATCAATAAAATATATTTAAAAAAAAAAAAAAAATTTAGATTTTGCTGGACAGATTGCAAAATGGAGGTGATTATGTACTTATGTAACCATTTAAAAATATAAAAATTGTTCATAGCTCAGGGCTGACAAAAAAACAAAAGGCCGCTATGAGCTGGAGTTTAATGACCCCCGATGTAAACCCTTCCTGCCACGGGGGGCTTGGGAATGAAGACCCACTTTCCTAGGATCGACAGCTAGAAATTCAGCATCCACCTCGTGTTGGGCATCTCCCCAGCACTCTGCCATTGTTCCTTGGTCATCTGAGTCAGAGTTTGGAGAAGTTTGGGGATTAAGTTTGGGAGGGGCTCGGGCAGCGAGAACAGCCTCTTCTTCTGAGATTTTGGCTAGTGTTTGTGGTGCGGTAGGGTGACTCTGCCTTCTTCCCCCTTTGATTTCCTTCCTACAGTTGCCTAGGACTGTGGAGCTGGGGTCTTTGTGCTCCAGGCAGGCACTGACATGGCAGGACAAGTCCAGCAGCTAGATGAAGGCAAGGGGTGGAGGTCAGAGCCAGGGCCAACAAGGAGGCGGGCAGAATGAAGCAGCAGGGGTAGGGCCTGGGGTTGGGGAATATGTCTGGATAGTAAGAGCTGCACCTAGATGGGGATCTTGAATGCCAAGGACCTGGCATCTGGTTCTGCTTCTGATGCCATGTTTCTAGTCAAGTTTTTAGCAAATTAACTGGACCTGGCCTCCTACTTGATACCACCTTTTTTCTCTTCTGGCAGGAGACTCTGGGCCAAGCTTCCATCTCACATCTCTATTTCCTTAATTTTCTCCCCCCTCACCTCTTTTGCTTGCCTCATTCCCCAGAGTGTGCTTGGTTATATGGCTCCCTGAGCATCTCTCTCAGAATGGCCTTGGCCTAGGAATATTCCCTAACCAGATCCTCAGGGTAGGGGACCTGTCTCCATGATCTATACTTCTGCCCTCTGTCAATGTATTCGTCTTCTGAGCAGGTAGCTAGGAACACGTTAGTTTTGTGCTGGGCACTGCTGAGATGGTTGGGTAGGAAGGAGCTTTGGAGGTTAGTGGGATGGGGACAAAGGGTTTGAGGGTCTGGTCCCTTTCCCTAGACTAGAACCATCTTCCATCGTCTCTCCCCCACTGCATGGATGACTGCAGTGGTATGTTCCTGCCCCCTCCCGCCACCAGTGACCTTCCAAAGGGCAGTTTCTGGCCCAGACTAACAGCTGAATCCCTCTGCTTCTCTCACCTGGCAGGTAAAAGCAGCTGTTAAGTATGCCCTGAGCGTAGGCTACCGCCACATTGATTGTGCTGCTATCTACGGCAATGAGGCTGAGATTGGGGAGGCCTTGAAGGAGACTGTGGGGCCCGGCAAGGTGAGGACTAGGGCTACAGAGGGATGGGATGAGAGATCTAAGAGGCGGGGGATGGGGGGTGGACTGGGGCCTGGCTGGAGGGGTCTGGCATCAGCTCCCTTCTAATTCCTCTCCCAGAGGTGAGGGTGGGTAAGACTGGGTGCCCATTGGCTCTTCTCATGATGGGCCCTGCTTCCTGCCCCAGGCGATGTCTCGGGAGGAGCTGTTTGTGACTTCCAAGCTGTGGAACACTAAGCACCACCCCAAGGATGTGGAGCCTGCCCTCCGGAAGACACTGGCTGACCTCCAGCTGGAGTATTTGGACCTGTACCTGATACACTGGCCTTATGCCTTTGAGTGAGCTTTGCCAGTGTCTTTATCCAGGGAATTAGGGGTTGGGGGAGTCAGTCGTGTTAGTAACTTATCGGAAGTCACAGTAGCGGAGCAGGATAGGAACACTGTCTGTGTGGCAAGCTGAGGAACTTGGCATGGGAACTCAGCCCTTTCTGCTTCGGCAGCCGGAATTTAGCTACAGAAAAAGGAGTGCAGCCTCACATGGCTTCTATCTTAGGGTATGCATGAGGGGTTCTGCTCCCTGTATTCATTCAGAAAAGGTACTAGCTCCTGCTGAACTAGGCCCAGGTTGAAGTAAATAGTAAGTTCTCGCCGAGGGTATGAGAGGGACTACCATCTGCTCTGTGCCCTGTGCCAGAAGAAGGCTGCAAGAGCATGCAACTCTTCGAGGAGGAAGGCAATAAGGAAGCCTTCCTAGAGAAGAGGAGATATAATCTGCCCCTGGGAAGAAGAAGAGGGGAAATGGCCATTCCATATAGGGTAAACACCTGGGTCACGATCTGGAAGGGTGTAAAACCATGCTTTCCCCTTTCTGGGCTTGGAGTATGGGACATAGAGTGGCTGGATGGGCAGGTAAGGCAGAAGCCTGGCATTTGTGCCCACTCTTGAGAGGCTGTCTTTCACTCAGGCGGGGAGATGACCCTTTCCCTAAGAATGCTGATGGGACTATCCGCTATGACTTCATTGACTACAAGGAGACCTGGAAGGCTCTGGAGGCACTGGTGGCTAAGGGGCTGGTGCGGGCGCTGGGCCTGTCCAACTTCAGCAGTCGGCAGATTGATGATCTTCTCAGTGTGGCCTCTGTGCGCCCAGCTGTCCTGCAGGTGAGCACAGCATAGCAGGTCGGTTTTTTGGGGATGAGGTGTATGTGCAAGAGCATGAGTGAGCAGATAATGGGTCTACTTCATGGAGATGGCTAGCAAGTTGTCAGAAATGTTGGTGTAGGACTCCTCTACATAAAGAAGGACATTGACATGTGGGACAAGAATGAAATGGACAGTGGAAAACAGTGATAAAAGAGGACTGAAGGGAAGTAGGGGGGTCAGCAGTGCAGGTTGGTCCGGATGGCACAGCCAGGCAAGCTGGATGTCGCCACCCCATGGTGATGGGTTATTTCTTGGCTCAGGTGGAATGCCACCCATACCTGGCTCAGCACGAGCTGGTTGCTCACTGCCAAGCACGCGGCCTGGAGGTGACTGCTTACAGCCCTCTGGGCTCCTCTGATCGTGCTTGGCGTGATCCTAACGAGCCTGTCCTGCTTGAGGAGCCAGTGGTCCTGGCACTGGCTGAAAAGTATGGCCGGTCTCCAGCCCAGATCTTGCTCAGGTGAGGGCGATCTTGGGGAAAGAAGGTCAGGTCAGAGAAAGGGCTCCTGGGTTGGGAGGTAAGGGTTTCAGCGGTTCTCAACCTGTGGGTCACGACCCCTTTGGCGGTCGAACGACCCTTTCACAGGGGTCTCCTAAGACCATCCTGCATATCAGATATTTACATTACAATTCATAACAGTAGCAACATTACAGTTATGAAGTAGCAACAAAAATAATTTAATGGTTGGGTCACAACATGAGGAACTGTATTTAAAGGGCCAGAAGGTTGAGAACCACTGGTTTTAGGGGTTCCTTATCCAAGTGCCTAGATGAGGCTGAGACTCTTGCCATGTGATCTGGGAGAGGCCACTCTGAATCATGTTCCCCATTCCAGCCGGGCTCAGGAGCTTAAAGAAAAGGCTGCATGGAAGACAAAACAATGCTTATGAGTACTGACTCCTCTTCCTCATCTACCTTAATCCCCCATCGCAGGTGGCAGGTCCAACGAAAAGTGATCTCCATCCCTAAGAGTATCACGCCTTCCCGTATCCTTGAGAACATCCAGGTACTTGGGGATGGGTCCTGTCTTTAGGCCATTGGGACACAGTCTGGCCCCAACTCTGCCAGGCTAAGAAGGCAGTGTTCTGGAACCCCGACTTTCACTCACAAAGCTGGCTTTCCTGACCTCTACTACCCATCCCCAGGTTTTTGACTTCAGCTTTACTCCAGAAGAGATGAAGCAGCTAGATTCCCTGAATAAAAATTGGCGATACATCGTGCCCATGCTTACAGTGAGTATGTTTCACACCCCCAGAGCCGGTGAATGTTAGATTTGGAGCAGGATTCTGACCCAAGCCTGGCCTCAACATTGCTGATCAGAGAGAGGCAGAATGGTTGTTGGTAGGATTACTGCCCTGGACACAATGGGCTCTTTTTGTTCAGTTTGGGGGGAAATAGTGGCTCGGGGATAAGAAATATAACGAGTCCCAGTCTTGCTTTTCTATATCTTGTAAGCTAGACGTTATTTAACTTCTCCAAGCCTAAGCTTCCTATTTTCAAAATGATTCTAGTTCCTGACACATAGAAAAATCTTAGTAAATGATATAAATGAGGGGAGCCTACAAGGCATGCTCGGCCTTCTTAGAGGGCTTGAAGTTGGGTTGAAGCCTATTGCACATAAGGAAATAAATAGTTCCTTCCCAGCTGAGACTGCAAACTTTATGTACCAGATTATGGGTTTAGTGGGAATGCTGTTGATACTGTGGCATTCTATGAGGCTGGGGCCCTGTTATTGCCATTTGGCATCATGCTGTACACAAGTGAGGGTCAGGAAGTTTTGGGAAAAGATGCCCTGCATCTTTGAAATATTATCTCCTAATAGGGTCATATGTCTGTCTCTTTTTCCAGGTGGATGGGAAGAGGGTCCCAAGAGATGCAGGACACCCTCTGTACCCCTTTAATGACCCGTACTGAAACCACAGCTTCCTTTCCATCTCCAGCTGTGAGGTACTGCCACCCCCAGAAAGATTTAATAAAGCCATTAAACATCTACACTGCTTATTGTGTGATTTGGCTGGTAGGACCTGGGATGGAACCGCTTCCCTTGGGGATATTGAGTACTACCTGCCAGGAGCCTAATCTCCCTTATCATTCTTCATTCTGGAGGAATCAAGATGGAGCTGAATTCAATTTGTGCTTTTCTGAATTAGGTACATTAGTGAACTGGTCCGCCATCTACAGGCAGCTCTGAGCACTGCATGCAACCACCCAGTGGCCCCCAGCTTTCTTTTTTTTTTTTTTTTTTTTTTTTTTTTTTTTTTTTTTAAATATATTTTATTGATTTTTCACAGAGTGGAGGGGAGAGAGATAGAGAGTTAGAAACATCCAGGAGCCTAATCTCCCTTATCATTCTTCATTCTGGAGGAATCAAGATGGAGCTGAATTCAATTTGTGCTTTTCTGAATTAGGTACATTAGTGAACTGGTCCGCCATCTACAGGCAGCTCTGAGCACTGCATGCAACCACCCAGTGGCCCCCAGCTTTCTTACTGAGAATCCATAAAATTGGTCACCTTGGTATTGGTAACAAGGCAGTGAGAGTTCTGTGCATTGTTGACCCTAAGTCTTGAGTTCCCACCCCATTCCCTACCCTGGTCAGTGCCCAGGCCTAGGAATATGAAGAGCCAACTTAATAGCTTGCAAAATTATAGAAAGGGCACACGGGCTTTTTCTGTCACACAGGACAATCTGTGTGCATAGCCTACCGAAGGGGGCAGAGTCAGCCCCAAAGCTTGTCACTCTGCACCTAAAGTCCTATTTTTCATACTTAATAGTCCCATTAAAGGGCACTGGGATTTTTAGGAGGGTTTTATGAAAATCCCTGTAGCCCTAGCTGGTTTGGCTCAGTGCATAGAGCCTTGGCCTGTGGACTGAAGGGTCCCGGGTTTGATTCCGGGCAAGGGCATGTATCTTAGTTGCAGACTTAATCCCCAGTTGGGGGCATGCAAGAGGCAGCTGATTGATGTTTTTCTCTTGTCGATGTTTTGTTTTTGTTTTTTTAATATATTTTATTGATTTTTCACAGAGAGGAATGGAGAGGGATAGAGAGTTAGAAACATCGATCAGCTGCTTCCTGCACACTCCCTACTGGGTATGTGCCCACAACCAAGGTACATGCCCTTGACTGGAATCGAACCTGGGACCCTTGAGTCCGCAGGCCAATGCTCTATCCACTGAGCCAAACCGGCCAGGGCTCTTGTCAATGTTTTTATCTCTATCCCTATCTCCCTTCCTCTCTCTAAAATAAATAAAAATATATTTAAAGCCCTACCCGGTTTTGCTCAGTGGCCTGCGGACTGAAGGATCCCAGGTTCCATTCTGGTCAAGGGCACATGCCTGGTTTGTGTGCTTGATCCCCAGTAGGGGGTGTGCAGGAGGCAGCCAATCAATCTCTCATCATTGATGTTTCTATCTCTCCCTCTCCCTTTCTCTCTGAAATCAATAAAAATATATTTAATTCACCATAGCTAAGATTTGGAAACAGCCTAAGTGCCCATCAGCAGATGAGTGGATTAGAAAACTGTGGTACATCTACACAATGGAATACTATGCTGTGGTAAAAAAGAAGGAACTCTTGCCTTTTGCAACAGCATGGATGGAACTGGAGAGCATTATGCTAAGTGAAATAAGCCAGTCAGAGAAAGATAAATACCACATGATCTCACTCATTTGTGGATTATAGAGAACAACATAGACTGATAAACAGGGACAGATCCAAAGACAGAGAAACAGCGATCAGACTATCACTCCCCAGAGGGAAAGTAGGGGAGGGAGGGGGTAAGGGGAAGAGATCAACCAAAGGACTTGTATGCATGCATATAAGCCAAACCAATGGACATGGACAACAGGGGGATGAGAACATGAGTGGGTGGGGGGATGGGGGTTAATGGGGGGGGATAAGGACACATTTGTAATGCCTTAAGTAATAAAGAATTTAAATATATATATATATATATATATTTAAAATACATATATTAAAAAGAAAAGAAAATCCTTATAAACTCCAGTCACACAAAACTCATTTTGGGTTTCTAGTCAAAACACTGCTCTTCACTGAACAAATAATTATTGGGTACTTATGTGGGTTAGGTACAATGCTAGACCCTGGGGATATAGGTATAACCAAGACACATGGTCCCTGTAGTCTACTTCAGAAAAGACTTTAAAGTAATTGCATAATTAGTTTAATTACAGTTGGAAGAAGTGCTGCACAAAAATACAGTGAGAAGCCTGTTTTTATCATGTGAGATCTGAAGGATGAATAGAGATTAATTAGTTAAATGATGTGAGAGTAGGAATAGTGTTCTGTGCAAATTGGGTAGCTTGGGGGAAAGGCCTTGAAACTGGAAGAAGTGGGAAAACTTAAAGAAGGCTTATGTGAAAGAAACTGAAGGTGAGCAAAGGTAGGATGACACAAAGTAATGCTGGAATTAGGCAGAGGCTGGTGAGTGAGGGTTTTTTTAATCCTGAATGCTGCGGGAAGCCACGGAAGAGTTTTGAGGGAATAACATGGCGTGATTTATGTCTTTGAAACAACCCTGGTGCAGTGGTTAAGTAAATGGAGGGAGGCATTTTGAAGTTAGTCTTTTGTCTCTGGCCCTTACTACCTAGAATATTGTACCCCTTGGCCCATTCTATGGGCTAACACCCATTACTTAAATGTTCAGTTTAGCTGTCACTTCTCTAGGACATCTTTCCTGACCTCACCCTTCCCAGATGGCTTACTATGTGATACCATGGCTCCCTTACACTTTCATGATCCACATTTCCATGGTTATGAGGTAAACTATGATGTGTATTAGTTTGTTGGGCTGCTGGAACAGTGCCACAGAATGGGTGGCTTAAACAACAGAAATTTATTTTCACACAGTTCTGGAAGCTAGAAGTGGAAGATAAGGTATTAGCTGACTTGGTTCCTTCTGAGGGACATGAGGGAAGGAAATGTTCTAGGCCTCTGTATTTCGCTTGTAGACAGCCATCTTCTCCCTGTCTTTACATTGTCTTCCCTGTGTATGCATCTGGTAAGAACACCAGTCATTGGAAAAGGGCCCACTCCAAATACAATCACATTCTGAGGACTAGCATATAAATTGAGGGGGGAGGACAATTCAGCTCATATAAGGAAGCAAAAAGTTATAACATGATGCCAAGCTGGTGTGGCTCAGTGGTTGAGGGTCGACCCAGGAACCAAGAGGTCGCCAGTTCAATTCCCAGTCAGGGCACATGCCTGGGTTGCGGGCTTGATCACCAGTATGGGGCATGCAGGAGGCAGCCAATCAATGATTCTCTCTCAATGATGTTTCTATCTCTATCCTTCTCCCTTCCTCTCTCTAAAAATCAATTAAAAATAAATTTTTTAAAAAGTTATAATATGAAATTGTTCATTCGCCCTGGCTGGTGCTGCTCAGTGGTTAGATTGCCCATGCACTGAAGAGTCTCAGGTTTCCATTCTGGTCAAGGGCATGCACCTGAGTTGCAGGTTCAATTGCAGTCCTGGTCAGGGCACGTGCAGCATGCAACCAATGTGTCTCTCTCATGTTAATGTTTTTCTCTTTCTTTCTCCCCCTTCCTCCCTCCCTTCCACTCTCTCTAAAAAGAAATGAAAAAATATCCTCGGATGAGGATTTTTAAAAATTCACTAATAAACTAACTACTTAAAAATGGTTCTTGATTCAGATATCTCATCCTCATTAACAGCATTGCTGTATAGACATCTTTGTCTAATCTTTGGACTGTACAGTGCACATTCACTATAAAGTGAAATTGCGGATCTTAAAAAAAGATGCAATACTTTATGAAGCAATTAAAATGTGATGTTGGGGAACTTCACTCACTTCACCAAAGCCATTGCAAAGTGAGGACCTGAAAGTTAAACTTAAGAAAATGGAAGAGAGCCGAAACCGGTTTGGCTCAGTGGATAGAGCGTCGGCCTGCGGACTGAAGGGTCCCGGGTTCGATTCCGGTCAAGGGCATGTACCGGGGTTGCAGGCACATCCCCAGTAGGAGATGTGCAGGAGGCAGCTGATCAATGTTTCTCTCTCATTGATGTTTGTAACTCTCTATCTCTCTCCCTTCCTCTCTGTAAAAAATCAATAAAATATATTTCAAAAAAAAAAATGGAAGAGAAAAATGCTAGACTTCAAAGGAAGGTGTTTGGAATATCCAAGTATTAAGGAAGGTCTTTGGGAAAACTATGAGTATTTTTGCAAAAAGGATTTTTTATATGATTATTGTTTTGAATAAAAGACCACAGGCTCAGAATTTTAAAATGAGACTTGTCTTTATAAGACCACATTCCAGAATGACGAGAGTACTCACCAGCCAGAGGCTAACACCATCACATTCCAGTTCATCAAAATTCTTTATAAACAAGTACAATCTAAGACCGCTTTCAGAAACTGTTTTGTTGCCAAAACCAGTTTGGCTCAGTGGATAGAGCGTCGGCCTGCGGACTGAAAGGTCCCAGGTTCGATTCTGGTCAAGGGCATGTACCTGGGTTGCGGGCACATCCCCAGTGGGAGATGTGCAGGAGGCAGCTGATTGATGTTTCTCTCTCATCAATGTTTCTAACTCTCTATCTCTCTCCCTTCCTCTCTGTAAAAAATCAATAAAACATATTTAAAAAAAAAAAAGAAACTGTTTCGTAGACTGCAAAGGAGGAGGGGCTGTCTCACACTCAAGTAGGAAAAGGGAGACCTTCTGACATTCTTCAAGAGAGAGATTGTGAAGCTGTAGTCAAAGGCTGACAAATTTTAAAAAGGATACTTGAGAAGGGGGACTGATAGCACACATTGGAAAAAAGTCACAGTATTTGTTTGGGAAAAGATGATCTATGAAGGACTCCTGTTTCCCTCTGAAACAATGACAAGCAATGCTCTATATTTTTAAAATCAAAGTATAGTTAACATACAATATATTAGTTACAGGTGTACAACAGTGATTTGACATTTATGTACCTTATGAAGTGATCACTGCAATAAGTCTAATAGCCAT